TATATACCACCAACCCCCTACGCCCCCTCCCACACAAAAAAATCGAGCGCACTTAGTAATAAGTAACATAGTAACTAAACATGTCAAAATATAACAACATGTAATTAATCTGACCTCACAATATAGGCCTATTAACATAATTCATAATTCCGTATTAGCTCGTTTATTTAGTTAGACCCTCCTACTGAGAACAGGTTCACCTTAAAGTTCAGCCAATGAGCAGCACGAATCAGTTCACAACCATTCACGCAGCCGTTATGCGAACTTCTGAGCAAACTTCATACAAGTTCACGATCGGAACATTTCAAGCTGATAAGTGCACACATAAGCATATAGATATATTTTCAAAGGATCATGAATATTCATCGGTACAAGTCCTACCTTTGAGACTCCTATAAACGTAAACGCCTGCGTGCGGATTTTTATCTCCATACTCTTAGTCCCCTCTTTACTTCCAGCAGACAAGTTTTATTCTTTTTATATAACACCTGCAACGCTTTATTTGCTTTGATTGCTATTTTCCCTCCTTTATCAATCTAGTTCAGTGGAGCAGAGGTTGCTCTCCTTTTTTGTTGTCGTCTAAACCGTTTAGTTTTGGATGATCGGTCAAAGGTTGTGAAAAGCAGCGGGGAGAACAGGACGCCCAGCCGAGGAGGGAACGCAGGAGGCCGGACAGATCTAGTGGGCTGCATCGACGAAACGGACCATTAGACAGGGAAAAGCCATGGCTCACAGCTCTGGTCGATCAGGTAAGCGCAGGGCTCTCTTTTCGTCTCGCCAAACAGTGTGAGTGTTTATTTTCTAGCGGTAGGGGTGAGTCGCCGTCAGCTCAGGTAAGAACATACAGTAAGTGTACTTTACAAACGCAAACTACTTGACCAGCGACTAACCTTTATTGACCGCCCTATAATGTTGCAAGCGCAGTCTGCTCTTACGGTAGTTCTTTGCGTGCTGAAAAGTCTGACAGATTTGCCTTGTCAATCTGTACATTTAAAGCGGCAACTGATTCACGCTGACATTATGTTATTATGCCATTATTAGCTGGGCCCGTGTGTGGACATAACTGCTCACTGTAATCCATATTACTGCGGTATCTCCCATTTCATCATTCAAATATTAATTTCCCCCAAACATCAGCCTTTTTTGCGATCGCATAGTTTTATGGCAATATTAACATAACAAATTAATATTTCAAATGTTATTATTATTATTACTAGTAGGCTACTGTCGTTGTTGTTATTCATATTAGCCTATTGCTGTTGTCGTTGTTTATGCTGTGCGGTTAATTGAAAACATAGATCATATGCTAATTCACCTTTCTATTTTGGGTGTAAATGTGAAGATCAATATAACACTTGTAATAATCTAATTAATTATGGTGAAATTAAAAGCAAGTACAAAATCAATCTCTGATGCTGTGGACAGAACTCAATTGATGGTCCATCTGTTCACTCTATAGACATCATGAATGGGTAATCTAAAGACGCAGCTGATATCATGACTGGCGATGTGAATGCAGTTTTGTTGTTTTGGTTACAGCGGTCAAATTTTGGGAAACTTCATATTTTGGTTTATTGAAGTATTGTATTTTAAAACATCTCAAAAGTAATTAATATTTTAGGGATACAAATGTTTTTTAGGTATTGTGCAAAACAAAATTATCATCAATAATAATATTAATAATAATGCCAGTGCTATTTGCAAAATTCTTCCAGCAATTTAATTTCTGTGATAATAATCTAAACTTGACCAGAGATTGTTTAAACTCCTCAGTTTTAACTTTTTTCCCCAAAGAAAAACAGTTGGCCACACTGGGCAAAAAAACGACTTCTCTATTTTTTCAGTGTTTGTGATAACTCAATACCTCTCGAAAAACACAACTAAAAACACTGTTTTTAAACAATCCGACGACTCAAAATAGCAGTAAGCGTATCAGACTTCTTAAAATTCCGTTATGGGTTACTCCTGCTTTAAAAGCTAAGGATAGGCTACTTGCATTCAGCTATAGCACACTGACGTGGACAGAAGGTCTAGTGGAGTGGAAAGTATCGATTGGTGACGTTGAGAATATTACAGTGAATGAGATGAAACATATGGGCTTCTTAAAAGTGGAAATAGAAATATTGGATAGTGGAATAGAAATGATTTTCTGCGTTCTCATTGGACGTTCATCGCTGTTCACTTTGACTAACAAACCTATGTGGCGTATAGCAGAGGCTGTCAAAAGAGATGCACTTTACCACTGCACCTTCTCTCTTTCTCTGTCTGTCTCTCTCTTTGACACGTTCGATCACTCTCTCCCAATCGTTTTCTTAAGAGTAAACCCCCCTGGGTTGGTCTAAAGAAAAGAACACAGAATGTAAAACGTGTTTTCAAACAAACCAGACCTTTAAAAAATATTTTGCATGTTTCCTGTTTATTTAAAATGGCACGTTTGCAATTTATTACACCTTTTCCATTGCCCAGCTGTGACAGGACGCTAATATTATCTCGAAGAAAAAACGTATAATAAAAAAGTTGAGGAGCCACATGAAATATAATTCTATATTTGTAGCATAGACACAGTCTCAGTATCCTGCCTTTAGTATTCAATGGCCGCTATGATCAGTTGCAATTAGTTTTCCTATCATTTAACAGAGGAAGTAACTAATATAGTAAAGGGGAGTGGAGGCAAAAAGCTGGGGTCTTGCGGGGAAATAAAAGCAGCTTTAGGGGAAATGTGTAGTCGAGTGTGAAATTACAGCCCATGGTGTTACATATTGTACCAGAAGCTCCCTCCAAAAATACTAACAAAAAGAAGAATCGTCCCCAAATTTAGCCGGGAGGCATAACATAACATAGCCTCCTGTTCTTTTAGCCGAACGTACAACGGTCACAGTGCGAACACTTCATACATGTGTAAGAGCCGTCTTCAGTCAAGCCAAAGCCTGCACTTTTTACTAATTGCTACAAGCATTTTTGTTTTTAAACACAGCATTTAGGGTGCTTAAATTCAGATCTGTGCGTACGTGCCATTTTACTAAAATAAAGAAAACAGTAAAAAACAATAATAATGGCAACAACTATAACAGTGTGATTATAATTGAGTGCGATACGTAAAATCAGTGCATACCATCGTATTTGAATTTTAACAGTTAAAATAATAATAATAATAATAATACTTTTTTTCAGAAAAATTATGTAATTTAAGAAGATATGACGCTGACTTTATCACATGCTTTAGAAGTGATAAAAAGTAAACATGATCACAGTATGTTCCAGGATCTAAAAACTTATTCTGAAATACAGTTTTTTTTATACAAGTATATAAACATTTTATATCGATTTATTAGAAATGTAGCCATGATAGATAGATAGATAGATAGATAGATAGATAGATAGATAGATAGATAGATAGATAGTTAGATAGAGTATTGTTTTAAAATAAAAAAGCGAAAAGATAAGTTTAAAAATAAAAAAAATAGCGACAAGTGAAGCACATGGGTACATTCAGTGATAAACTAGCATAAACAAACTGACAAAACCACGAGTCAACGATGAACATCCATCTGTTTTACAAAACTTTTTTCTTATACATCTGAGTAAATATAAACAAACAAATAAATAAATAAATAAAAGAAGAAGAAAAAGAAATACAAACTAAAACTCACTATCAAACATTAAGTTCATCACTTTGTCATCAACAATCAAGAGTTTTGTTGGAGAGCCATAAAACAACTTCCAGAGCCTCCCTCAGTCAAATAAAGCAAACTAAGCAGCGCCATCTACAGAAATACCTACAATATAGCAGCCCAAACAGCAGGGTAAAGACACAATCCTTTCACTAACATTTGACAGGCCAGCGAATTTAGAAGTAGTGTTGTTATAGTATCAAAAGCAATGATAATACAGTAATCCGCGATTTTCATAAGATGCAGCAAATATTTGTCAGAAATTGAGATTTAGGCCAATTTATATCTGTGCACTGCGCATATTTATGCTTTATAGTATTGTTTACATTTTCTGTATTTCCTGTTTTAGAAAATAAATGCATTAGCGTATGTCCCGTTTTAGAAAATAAATGCCACAATATTGCTTAACAATTTAATAATATTTCACGCCAATACATTATAATCGATGTTCGGGAAAAAATGTGAAAACACCCGACATGACCTATAAGTGAAAGAAAACAGTGTAATAGAAAAGATTATTGTAAAGATTAAGACCTTCCTTCATCTTCAACTAGTCTCATCTTGACAACATTATGCCAATCAGCAACACACACACACACACACACACACACACACACACAACATAAATTAATTAATTAATTAAAAAAAAAAAAACATTCAGTCTACGTTTAGGTCACCAATATGATTCAAACATGATTCATGTAGTTTGACAACATACAGTTTAGAAATACCACGATGTCTGGCCGCTGGTGGTACCGCTTCCATTCGCCTTGTCTTTTAATTTCCTCGATTTTTTTAAACCCATCTCTCCTCATTTCCCTGTTTGCATCCCTCCCCTTCCGAAGTGTCAGATGAAGAGACCTCCTCATTTGGTGCTCCAGCTTTTTGCGTTGGCGAATCACAAAGTGTTGGAATCTATTGCCTTTGTCTGACATGTCATCCATCTCTATGCGAGGGGGGATCTGGGAAGGAGGGGGGGCGGTGGACTTTAATTAATTAATTTAAAAAAACAAAAACATTCAGTCTACGTTTAGGTCACCAATATGATTCAAACATGATTCATGTAGTTTGACAACATACAGTTTAGAAATACCACGATGTCTGGCCGCTGGTGGTACCGCTTCCATTCGCCTTGTCTTTTAATTTCCTCGATTTTTTTAAACCCATCTCTCCTCATTTCCCTGTTTGCATCCCTCCCCTTCCGAAGTGTCAGATGAAGAGACCTCCTCATTTGGTGCTCCAGCTTTTTGCGTTGGCGAATCACAAAGTGTTGGAATCTATTGCCTTTGTCTGACATGTCATCCATCTCTATGCGAGGGGGATCTGGGAAGGAGGGGGGCGGTGGACTGCAGCTTTTAGAAACAGACACACTGAGAAGAGGGGTTTCAGTCTAAGCCTAAAGCTTCTAAGAGGCACATCCCATTCTTGAAGAGAGGGGGACCGAGAGACACTCGCCGTGTCCATGTTTTTTCCTGTCATCCCCGCTCGAATCTGACTGTACCCCTCAGACTTTACCAGAAACGCTTCTCCATATCGAGGAATTTACACTGCAGTTTCATCAGAGGACACTGGAGGAGACGCAACCACTAATGCTTGCGTTCCCTTAAATATGTAGCTAATAAATATTAACTGAACGACTGATTACGCTAACGTTCCTGCGTAAAATATTTTTTTTGAGAGACCAGTGCAGGACATGATCTGCACCTGACCGGCCTCGTGTCTTCGCTGAATGGACTGATCAGCACGAGAAAAAGTTCGTCGCACGCTGAAGAACTTCTGTTCACTGGCATCGGAAGCACTGCGCTTTGAACGGATAGCGATCTTTATTAATTCCAATTAAAGCTACATTATCAAGGCGAGACGGCGACCTCAGTCGATTATCTTTCCTTCCTTTGCTATCCCATGGATATTCACTGCAAAGCAGACCCCTTCTCGGCGATGCACCGTGAGTACAATATACGTTTTTTCCTTAAAAATCTCTACCTTGGTTAGCATAAATAAAGTCTAAATTGTTCATCGTTTCGGTGGAGTTGGCTTTGTAAGATAACCTGTGCGCATTAAGCTATTTACTCTTACTAAGTTTTCCAAAGCTTTTACAATAAATGTATAAATGACTGTTTAAATATTTTATACTTCACGCTCAGTAAAGCGAATACAAAAAGTAGTCCCGCGAGAAAAAAAATAGCCTCGCTTCTTATATTTAGCGGCCTTTAAATCGTTTGTTCCGACAAAAAGGCGTTAAAAAAAATCGATACAATATTTAGCGTAATTTAAAATAGATTATTCTGCCTTGTATGTAAAACGTAAATGATTCGTGAATATTTCAAACAATGTATTTCTTATTTTTTAAGTTCAGTGCATGTCTGAGAAAAATACGGTACATGTGGGTTGGAAAGAGATGTAGTTACAGCAAGAATATACATATAAATTAAAATCGCCAGAAATGTCTAACATGTGCAAACGCAGTAATACCAGATTTGCAAAAGATTAAATTATTTTACACAAAAAAAACTGCCTTTAAAAACTCCGCATTTTAAAGCGAGAAATTTCTAATGAAAATAAATGTGGTCTACATGTTGAAAATCAGAGAGAAAATGCTTGCTGTTTGGCATAATAATAATGATTTAAATAAGTTGTTTGTGCGATATTTGTTGAAAACACCGTATTGTAACAAGATGACGGAAGGCCTGGGTCTAATTTAAATAATTAATTCTTAATTATTTTGCAGTAGCCTACTCCATGGTTGTAATATGAGTTATCAAAGCTCTTTTGAATTATTTACAATAATTGTGCAAGGAAAATTAAACAGGTTGAAACATAATCTATGCGACATGTGTTTGGCTGCAATGGAATCGTAGAGGAAGATACTACCTAACTGCAGCGGGTCCTATGGGTAGAATAGCACATAACGTTTGCCGTTGTTTACAATCATGAGTGCGTATAAAAAGATGGTTATGTGGAATAAAATAATAAGAATAAGAATAATAAGAATAATTATTATTATTGTTATCAGTACAGCAATTTAATAATATTACAATAGCAGTTATTTATCATGCTATATTGTGCTGACAAGATATATCTATAAACACAAAGAAATACATTAACTAACTATAAATTAAAAACTACTGTCCAACGTGCAAAGTCATTTTGTTTTAACTGAATGAGGAAAACATTAACTGCCGCCCCATGAACATTTTGATAATATATATACATTTTAATATTGTCAAAGTACAAAAACAGTACAAATAAAGAACAAGGACGTCAAGGCCTTTTACGGATACATTTTCCATCATGTTTCTTAGCTAAGATATACATTATAGCCTAACTATCTTATTGTTTGTCGTTGTCCACATGGGCACATACAGGTAGTGTGTTTGTGTGTGTGCGTGCGCGCTTCCATGCGGAGAGTATTAAAAGGGAGAAAGAGAGAGAGAGAGGGGAAAAAGAGACAATTAAACGCTTCTGTGTGGTAGCCACGTTGACGGCGCAGCCTATCTTCTATATGTATGTAATGTTATGCTTTTTGTGTCTGTGTTGTTGTATCCCATATAGGGCACGGCGGTGTGAACCAGCTAGGAGGGATGTTTGTGAATGGCAGACCCCTACCTGACGTGGTCAGGCAAAGAATCGTGGAGCTCGCGCACCAAGGAGTCAGACCTTGTGACATCTCAAGACAACTCCGGGTCAGCCATGGCTGTGTCAGCAAAATTCTCGGAAGGTACGAAAAAGTACAGATGTAGTAAATTTGTCCAGTTATACCCGTGTAGAAATAACAATATTAATGAAATGTAATTGCTTCATGTAAATAAACCTTTTAAACATTATTGTACTGTTATGTGTCTTAGTAACCTTTTCCCTTTTAGTGAAAGGTCTAATATTAAACATTCTGACCTTAAATTCATTGTGGAGGAGAAAGGATATGTTTTCTAGGAAACTGTTATAGATTTTTGAATTTTCTGAAATATTTTTCAGCTATCAAAAGGATCTTATAAGGTATTCTGCACTTTAAATGTTCCTTAGAAAATATGAGATATGTGTTGGTGGCATGTATTAATCGTGGGGTGCATGGGACATATATCAGTCGCTAAGGAAGCCGTTTGATAAATGGATGATTACGATTTTAGATCGCAGCATACGAATGTTAATGTTTCAACACGCAAAACCTATTAAAAGTAGGTGTTAAAATAATGATAATAGTAATAATAATAATAATAATAGGCCTAATAATAATGCACATTTTCCCGACGCAAGGGTTGGGGGTTAAAAAAAAATCACACTTTATAATTTGAAACTCAAAAAAATTATTAAATCAACAGATTATATAACTATTTATGGCCCGTGTTCATAACGCACTGTTTATAAATATGCTCAATGCCACACGCTAGCAAAAAAAAACAAACAAACAAAACAAAACAAAAAACGTACTGACATGTAAGGAATTTTTATAATAACGAATTATCGTTCATCTTTTTCTAGATACTATGAAACCGGCAGTATTAAACCTGGAGTTATTGGGGGGTCCAAACCGAAAGTGGCGACACCCAAAGTTGTGGATAAAATCGCAGATTACAAGCGGCAGAATCCCACAATGTTCGCCTGGGAGATCAGAGACCGACTCCTGGCCGAGGGCGTTTGTGACAACGACACAGTACCAAGTGTTTCATCTATAAACAGGTAAAGCCGTTTGAAATTCGATTTTCACTTTTGAAATTCCAAATTATTTTGAAAAGCATGATGTCAGTGACAGAACAGAACTATTAATTCGGTTCTCTACTGACCTTCAGCAGTGTTATTAAAACAGCGAATCCTAACACTAGCGGCCAAATTATCATCAGCTAATTTGAAACCCCTTCAGAGGCCTTGTAGCCTACAGAAAACTACGTATCGTTTCCAGTTGACGATGCGTATTCAATGGGTGACGTTTTTTGCTTTTTTAATTCTTGCTCTCGGGGTGGTCTCAAAATGTGCAATTCAATCCCAAATCTGTCCACAGCCTGCAGAGGATCTTTAGTTGAGGTCGCGAAAATCACATCTGTCTCGATGAAAACCGATCAATACTCTGTAACCAGATCCAGTTGCACTGGGAAATACGCGACAAGACATCACTGCCTTATGCGGAATCTCAGTAGTTCTAAACAAATATAGTACGCAAGACAAAAAAAAAAAAAGTTAAGGTTTTTAAACGGGTTTGAAAAAAGGCGATGAGTAATGTAAGTAATAAAACAATAAATGATAATAATAACCTAATAATAATAATCATTATTATTATTATTAAAGAAGAATAGTGTAGTAAAATTATGGAATAATTTTAAATAAGGTGGATGTGTAACTGGGCTTCTACCTCAGCAATTTCAGTGAACTACTAAACTTAACAAGGACTAACAAACAGGTCCTGTAGTTCTTATGCCATCATAAATAATGCAAGGGAGATCATAATCAGCCCCACTTTACTTATATGCCTACCTACATTAAATCAGTCAGTTGAAAATAAAGAGTCCTAACAATTAGTTACCATTCTTTTTCTTATTTCTTATTAAAATACAAAGGCTAGCAAGACTATCCCAAGTGAGATGGAGTCGTGATGGTGGGAGGGGGGTGGAAGACCGGAAGAACAAGGTGAAAAGGCCTACCTGCAAGCAGGAGTAATGAACTTTGGTTAGCAAGCACTGTTCCATAGAGCTGGCCAGCAGCATTACATTTTAATGAGCTGAAGAGAGATCATGGGCCGACCCGCACAAGACATTTCCTAGAAAAAAAAGGGGAAGAGAGAGGCTGAAAAAATTCATTTCATGCACTATGGCTGCTTAAAAAGGGCAATTTGAACAGGTCTCAACACATATATGCGGTACATTTTTAATCTGCATTAATGACATGAAAGAAGAGCCAATAAACCTTCGTTTCCAATGTTGTTCAAGTTGCCATCTCAGAGGAGGGCATTGTAAGGACCTCTGTTATTTATAAAATTAATATGTATAATGATGTAACTGGAATTGATTTCGCCTGCTATTCTGAATCATACAAAGTTGGGTTTTCTATGCCCAGGCAACACATATTGGATAAAACTACCTGAGCTAATCATTTCAAAACTTGCCTGTATTATTTAATAAAATTGGATTTGCTACAAGTAAACATCAGTGAGGGCTGTGCTTTTAAGTGAACTGGGTTACACTACACTAGAACACTTCTTTAACTTTGAGACTGTTGAAAGCAGGCAAGTACAAGCAAAATGCAAATACAATATTTTAACATTTCCTGTAATTACAACAGAACCTTTAACACAGGCTGCAATTGCCTAGACAAGCTGTAAGCCTTGTGCAATTTCAAACAGGTGTTCTTGTACCCTGTCTAAAAGTATTCCCTCACCAGTGAGCAGACTTCAGAGGCAGGACCCTCATGCACTGAGCGCTTAAGAGGTTGACCTCTGCTCTGTTGACATTAGAAGATGTCCCAGCTTTAAGCACATTTTCTCTGCATGAATTATTAAAGATTACACACTGTCTGGGGTGTACTCTGTGTCCTCCTCACAGCATGAAGTCACTGGCACACAACCAGGTCTGAGCCCTTCTATCGCCTGAATCCTAAGCGTCATTTCAATAGCATTGATTCATATTTTAATATTTCTACAGGGAATTCTCAGCACCCTGGCAAGTCATTAATTCACACCTTCCAGATAGCTCATTCGATAGCGAGAACATGGATCCAAGCTATTGAATTTGTGTGGCTAACGAAGTTGCAGGGTTAAATCGTTGTTTTGGCTGGATGTTAAAGAATTCACAAAATACTTATATGGTGTTTGTCTTGTGTGCTTTTTTAGCTTGCAAAAAAAAAACATTTTGGTATACACACACACACACACACACACACACACACACACACATTCATATGAATTAGCCACCAATTTGCCAAAATGTAGAATTAGTGTGTTGATGCTGTGTAGCATCTGGCCAGTTTGTGCACACACACACATATATATATTAATCCTTCTAAGTGCATCAGCACATATGGAATGAGGATTTTACAGCCATATTATAGTTTATACAAATGTGAAAATGTGTAGCCAACGAGTATAAATGTGTTCCTGGAATAAGGTGACAGCTTCTTCTCTCTGAAGCGTGACCCAGATTAAAGACATCAGATGCTGCAGTGGGCTTTGGTGTAACAATGAGATACTATTGCTTTCCTGTCACATATAATTTATAGCCCTCCATTTGCATCTGTTCTTCTCTGCCTCTAATTCCCAACTTTTTTTTATCCCCAAGTCCCAATCAATAGGGGCTCATCCGCACTGTCACCCCTGAATGTTTGTGCTAGAAAAAAAATGTCGGATCTGGGAAGTCAGTATCCAGACTCTACAAGCAATCCTCACTTGCTTCAATGAGGAGGAGGATAGAGGAGAGACTGAGATAGATAAAGAAGGAGAGAGGGAGAGAGAGAGATTATTAAAGCTGAGGCTAGTTCGAGGCAGTGAAGCTCATCATTGAGGTGAATTGATGTGATTTCATGCTTTGTTTGCAAGATCATTCAGACCAAAGTGCAATGAAGACTTTCCCCCATATCACACCTTCGAGGTAGTGGGACTTTATCATATTTCTAAAGATGGGATCCCGTTTGATTGAATCCACTCTCTCCGCGGTAACTCCCACTCAGCCTCGCATGTCTATTCCATGATTGGTCCTAATACACCAAGATTGGTTATTTGTGACAGAATCAGTGCATCTATAGAGGAAGGCCCCAAAACAACACTAGAGTTTTACAAACGCAATGGGTCGCATCAGGCTATGCGAAAGCTTAAAGCTCAAACCTATGCAAAAGCTTACCTTAAAATGATCCAGTCAACCAACTGCACCTTCAACTCTCATCGTGTTCTTTTAACTGCCATTTCATAGGATAATTCGAACCAAAGTTCAGCAGCCTTTCCATCCATCCTCTGACGGCACAGGAACGCCTCTCACCACAGCGGGACACACTATAGGTGAGACAGCATATATTTTGCATATAAACATAAAAATCGTAATGACATCAATTATGCCTGTGACCTAATGTTAATTCATTCTCTTTTAAGGTGATCTTGAGAGCACTCCATATACGTTAACCTATTCCTGTGCTCTTTCAGTGCCCAGCACAGCCTCCCCACCTGTGTCAAGCGCTTCCAATGACCCCGTGGGGTCCTACTCTATTAATGGCATCCTAGGAATCCCTCGCTCCAACGGCGAAAAGAGAAAACGCGATGATGGTAAGAGACTGGATTTCTCTCCATCGCTTTTATTCCCCTTTCACTCCTTTTCTAGGCCTCTCTACAGCCCCCTGTAATTTCCAATTTGTGTGGGGAGATGAAGATGGCATTTTGATAGCACTGGACAAAGCATTTTGTAAAAGAAAAAAAAAGCGCTCTCAAGTGACTTGTTATATAGTAAAGCAGATTGGACTATTTCATTCAGCCACTTGATACTATGGTGTTTGCATGGCTGTAGCACATTTTATAGGTAGTGCATCAGGGATACGGCTTTATGCTTTTTGTAAATAATACAGGTCAACAAAATGAAGACAAAGAAATCGGCAACGTAAATACAAGAGATGCATGAGGAAATGGCAAAAAATTTGCTTTTGAAATTCCAGACTGGAAATGCAGAAAATAATGCAAAAACTGCCTGATGTGCGATTTATAATTGACTTCTAAAGACATATTCTGACATTTTAATTTCTCACAAATTTCTGGCTTTGTATTTTTGCTTTTGAAGAACTGAAATGGGGCTGCCAACCTGCTCATGCCAACATTCTCTCTTCTTTTCTAAATGAGAGGGCACATACCGTCTAAGGCCTAATGGCTAATCGGTTCTTCATACAATCGCCTTTTGAATGCTAGTGAATAAACATCCATGTGGCACCGGGCCGAACGGGAACACAGAAAGTGCTGTAGTCAAAGGGAGGGAGGTTGAAGTGGTTGGAAATGATCTCTTAAAACATTTATCAAAGCAGGGCTACTTGCTTCTTTTATGTTTCCATCTCTTTAGTTCTCTGGAGTGGCAACCACTTGGATGGGAGGAAAATAGGATATTGTAAGTTCCGTTAGCCCACCTTCTCCTTGCTTGCTTAATCACAAGCCACTCGAGTCTGATCAAGTGCTCTGTGAGGGTGAGGGTGTGTGTGTGTGTGTGTGTGTGCACGTGTAGGGTTGTGTGTCGAGGGGAGGGGGATGAGACGGAGCACACTGACGCTTAATGATATCTTTATGGAAAGAGCTCTGGATCATATATAAACACTGCAAGAAAGCGACTGTGGCAAATCACATTTGCTACAGCGTGGCATGCTCTTACGGAGACCGTCGTGGTGCTTTTCCTGTCACTGTCATAGACCGTTTGTTCCTAAAAACAGAGAAGGGACATAACATAAGCGAGAGGGGATTACCCAGCCAAACGGCAGTGGCGGTAGTTATTCCTAGTTTGATTAGAACTGACACAACGTGAAGAGTGGATGAAGGGCTTGAGTGTAATTGCATCATAAAACACTAGGCGGGAAAACATGAGTTTACTTGCCCGCGCAATATCAAATTTAATACCGCTTCAGCGAGGATTACCTTTCATTACAACGACTAGAAAAGCATTTTGTAAAAGAAAAAAAAAGCGCTCTCAAGTGACTTGTTATATAGTAAAGCAGATTGGACTATTTCATTCAGCCACTTGATACTATGGTGTTTGCATGGCTGTAGCACATTTTATAGGTAGTGCATCAGGGATACGGCTTTATGCTTTTTGTAAATAATACAGGTCAACAAAATGAAGACAAAGAAATCGGCAACGTAAATACAAGAGATGCATGAGGAAATGGCAAAAAATTTGCTTTTGAAATTCCAGACTGGAAATGCAGAAAATAATGCAAAAACTGCCTGATGTGCGATTTATAATTGACTTCTAAAGACATATTCTGACATTTTAATTTCTCACAAATTTCTGGCTTTGTATTTTTGCTTTTGAAGAACTGAAATGGGGCTGCCAACCTGCTCATGCCAACATTCTCTCTTCTTTTCTAAATGAGAGGGCACATACCGTCTAAGGCCTAATGGCTAATCGGTTCTTCATACAATCGCCTTTTGAATGCTAGTGAATAAACATCCATGTGGCACCGGGCTGAACGGGAATGCAGAAAGTGCTGTACTCAAAGGGAGGGAGGTTGAAGTGGTTGGAAATGATCTCTTAAAACATTTATCAAAGCAGGGCTACTTGCTTCTTTTATGTTTCCATCTCTTTAGTTCTCTGGAGTGGCGGGCGCAGTCAATCTTCCCTTCATTAGATGATGACATAACAGAAATATGCTAATCCGATTTTAGGAAGAGCTGCGCAGATGCACTTTGAAACACGTAACATGTGAAACCCGCCAGTTCTGGGGAAAAAAGGTCAGTGTAATGAGTTAGCATTTGATTTAAAAGATATAGGCTTCTGCAGTCTTTATATTTGATGATGCTAGTGCCCTTTAAAAAAAAAAAAGGTCCCCATTACAAGAGTGATATGGAGATAATGTAGTGTGGCACGCGTTATGTGCACCAGGCCTTTGCAAGAGGAGCTTCAGGGACACAGGTGTCATAAGAGCCATTAATCTGTCATTTTCATGTGTTACTGCAAATTAAAAGTAGTACGTTGCTCGCCGGCTATGGGTGACGTTCGGCGTGTTGTGGATCGTCGCAGAGAGGGAGGTAAGGGTTGGGGGGAGCCTCCCAAGATTAGTTCTTTGGTGGCAATAGCAGCCCACAAGTTGAACATAGTGACATTTAAGAGAATTTGCAATTCTGCAGAGAAAAGCTATTAATTCACAAATTAGCACCCCCTTCCTCTATCGTGGATGTGCAAGCTATTGAGGAGACGAAAGAAATAGCCTAAAGGGGAAGAGAGAGACACAGCCCTATCTGTGTAAAGATTGGTTTATATGTCTGCAAGCAGTGATACCAATTATGCCAGCACAGAGAATGCGCCTCAACCTTAATGCTGCCTTCACAGGCCCTTCAATCCATTGCCAGATTTATTTGTGTATCTCATTATGGAAAATAGAATGCCTTTCTTGCCAAATGCATTAATGGCAAAAGAGGGAAATTAAGCCTGTTTGGGATTTCTCATTTGTCAAAGTTAATACTTTGTTACAAAATCACACAAATGAATGAAATGAGTTAATTACTAGTACAGGCAGGAGCTGTGTATTTCCATGCCATTTGGTTCTCACCTGTCCTTGGATCGGCTTGGTGTCTGATTAGCAGGTTGGTGTGACCCGGCTCTCTTCCATCTGTATAAAACCAAACATAACCTACATAGGGAGTGGGCAGATTGCAATAAATTGCGTGCAAAAACACAGACTGACGCTTGAATCAGCTGTGGGAGCATGCGTTCACATGAAAGAAATTAAAGTGGGTTGATTTATAAGGCCTAGCGGCGTATTTATTTGACGTGAGTGTGATAAAGAGATTATATCCGTGCCATCGAGGTATAAGAAAGCAAAAGTTTCACTTATAGCTTGTTTGTTCATCTACAAGTATTGCTTTGAGAGTGAATGGCAACACTTCAAATCCCCATGCTAAAATAGTTTGGCCCAAACCGAGAATGCTTTAACCTGTGCTTCCATTTCATGGCTTGTGAGATTCTATTGTGTCAATATGGATTCTACTTTTAAAAAAGAATAGAAATGAAATGTATCCAAACCAAGAAATGGATTGGCCTCAGTCTAAATCGAATAAGAACATCCCACTGATCTCATCATGATGATGGCCTCTGTATGAAAGAGAAAGACCAGATTTGAGAAAGGCTGCAGAGCGTAACCAGCAGAGAAGAAGTGTCTTATCAAAGGACACAAAAGGTCTATGCCCCCACTCGGCTGATACATCTGCATTCAAGCAGACCCGCCGCCCCAGCCTGGCCGATAGCTCAAACGTGAAAATCTGCAGCACGAAAACATCTAAGGACAGGGTGGTTCGCTCGAAGAGGAATCGTGTCAGAGAAAAGTCAATTATGAATGCTGATGCTGAGAATTAATGGTGCGCCGCATTACGCAGATTTTAAAAGGAAAGAGAGCGAGAGTTAGGGAGATACGCATTCATTAATTGCGTTCCAGAACGCTGCGTCACATGAGGCCGATGTGCTAAATGACAGACCGGGTGTGAGTACAGTAAAGAATGTGTGTTATAGGTGAGAGGAGAAACCCATGCTGACAGCGGTAGCCTGAGAAAAGAAAAAAGGAAAAGGAGAGAAAGCGCAGCTCCTACTGGCAGTCTGCACACTGCTCAGCAACACTAAATTGAATTAATAAAGCCTTTAAACACGCTGTAACATAACAGGAAATTAACAGCCCCGGTTGTGCTGCCGCTGCTACCTCGCTCTTTCTCTCCCTCCATCTCTCTCTTGTTCTTTCTCCTATTGTCTCGTCTTCTTCTGATTTAGTTATGTGCTGTGCAGCCTTGCTGCACCGTAGATTTCATAAATAGAAGTGCCAAACTTCTTTTTCTTTTTGCTTCTCCATATAATTTGTGCACACTCACAAATTCCTAGTTTTTGAGCAAGTATAAAAAGGTTACTTTTTCATTAGATCCAAAAAAATTGTAGAATCAGAATTTTTTTTATAACATTTTGATGGAACACTCACCATCAGACTTAAAGGGAGAGTTCATCCAAAAATTTGAATTCTATCATCATTTACTCTCATTGTTTTCAAACCTTTGTGATTTTTTCCCCATACATTGAAAGTCAATAAGGTCCAAAACAACTTTGGACCCCAGTGACTTTCATTGTATGAAAAATTTTAAACAATTCTTCAAAACATTTTTTAACAGAAGAAAGTCTAGGTTTGGAACAATATGAGGGCGAGTAAGTGATGACAAATGTTTCATTTTTGGGTAAACTACCCATATAAGAGTGGATGTGTGATATCAGGTCAAGGGTCACAGGGGTCACGAGACCCTCATTTGCTTTTCAAAAAGCTCTCTCATCCAAGCCAGCCTTATCTGATGAGATGAAAGCAGGAAACTCAGCACTGTTCTCTTAAAAGAATGTCACACCTGCCCGGTCAACCCTAAGCACACACTTCCTAAAACCTAATATCACAAATTTAGGACATTTCACTTTAAAATATTCAAAAGCACTTACATGTACAAACTTTGACTACGTACAGTGCATGTATTAAAATGACAAGTTCACCATGATAAGCCCTTGACTGTCTCTTGTTCTTAGTTTTATTTGAACTGGACTCTCCAGAGGAGGAAGCCCAGGGGAGGCCTGTTTTGTGGACTCTGGTTATCTGATATGACAAAGCTCTAGTCCCATAGCACCAGAGTGCTAATGCAGTAGGATGTCAAAACAAACACACTCAAGTGTTCCAATGAAATCAATATAGCATGAGCACTGATGTAAACAGGAGCCATATACATAGCCTAGACAACATCACTGCATTCACATTGAATCTCTGTTAAATGTTCAAAAAATTCCAGTGAGAAATGCTGATCTAACCTTGCTCTAACCTAAATCTCCCCTAAATGTAACGTAACGGAGAGCAGCCCAGCCCCCCCACAGCTGAAACCACAGCTCCATCCCGTGTCAACTAGCGGCCCTGCGTGCTTTGGGCTTTTGAGTATGGGAAACATGCTGCACCGAAGCAAATGACAAACGCCTGCTTATTGATCGCAGTTTGCACTTAGACCAGCTGATAGAAAGTAATTAATGACTCTATTTTCTTCTGTACCAAAGAGAACAATTGAGGTTTATACGGCAACAACACGCAGCCTTATAGAAGGCCCCCAAGGGACCTGTCTATAAAAAATGCCTGCGCTCAGATATGGAATGACTCAGATAATGTGGAGAGAAAAAAACACAACAAAACAACCACAACTGGAATTAATAGGAAAAGAAAAAATGTCACCTCAGTGTAGCTTAAATACACACTCCCACACACGTAATATCTCCCAGTCTCTTATCAGACCTCTCTGTGGATCTATTTCTCCTGAAAGTCAGTCCATCCTGTAGCCTCAGCCATTGAAAAAAGGTCAAGCTGGCGGGTAGAATGGCAATAAAGCCCCTGAAATGGTACTAACAGTGGAACATGATTGATCAATTGAATTCCATACCACAGAAAAATGTGGGATTAAGTAGAGTATTACACGCACAATGAGTTGAGGCATGATGATCATTTCAAGTTCATTTCGCCTCTCTCCTGCCACCAGATCAGGCAATCAATAGGGGCCTTGCATATCATATATCACTACGCTCTCACCGAGGAGAGAACATAATCTGCTGCAAATTTAGAATGACAGATTTGTAAGGGAGCAAAAAAGCCCCTCCACCACCAGAGACACGAAAAGCGGGAGGCTGTTGGCGCAACTGCCGAGGTTGCGCGAACGTTTGCGGGATGTTTGCGGAAGGGCTTCCGGAAAAGCAAAATGAGGCACTGGGGAAGGAAGGCTACCTGCTTCGGCAGGGTGATGGTGATGAGGTCACGGTCTGAGGGGAAACTGTTAATTTGTTTATAGAGAGGGAGATGGAGGGAAATGCATAAACTGGCAGTCAAGCTGTGTAATTGTATTCAAGCCGGGACTGGCCTCCCATTTTTCCAGGGGAAAGCAATCTGAAAGTGAAAGCAGCATTACATTCTAAAGGAAATTGTGCCTTTTAAATAATAGCTCTCCATTTTCCACCAGCCCACTGACGGGAAAGAGAACAAGGTGGCTCATGCTAAAACACATGGCGTTCCCAACAAGTATATGTTTGCTCTGAAGGTAATCCATCAATTACTGCAGGCCTATCAGATGATGACGGTGCTGATGCTGATCTGGGATGGGGGAGGTGTGGGTCTCCTCTCTCCCACTTTGCACCGTCCACATCTTTCCCTCTCTCTCTGTCTCTCCCAGCCTCATGTGCTCTATCTTTCCACAGCTATTAGGATCAGTTTGAGGCTAGCGCTGACTGAATTTGAGCTGATATACTCCAATCTTTCATCCAGTGGTGCTGAGAGGTGCACTCCAGCACTAGATGTAGCTGTTGTGTGCGGTGCGGGGAGGGAGGGATGGGGTGCCTGTCCTGGGAAGAAACGGGACCATAACGACTGGTACTAGCATGTGGCCTTGTCCCTCTCTCCTCTCATAGATGGTTCAGATGGCTCTGGCCCAAACAGTGATTCTCAGGGTAGTGTGGAGAGTTTACGGAAGCACCTGAGGGCCGATGCCTTCACTCAACAGCAGCTGGAGGCTCTGGATCGAGTGTTTGAGCGGCCGTCATACCCCGACGTCTTCCCTACGTCAGAACACATCAAGCCAGAGCAGGTTAGTAATATTGAGGCAAATGGAAGAATACTAACAAACAAATACTTTTAACCAGATTGTTGGACAGTCTGCAGTACTAATTTTAAAACGAAGTGTGAGCGGACAGCAGAGCTCATTCGAACGGACAGATGTTTATTTTTCTTAAGATGAACTAGTGAAATCAAGTCACCATACGATTTAATCCCTTGCCCAAGCATCACTAATATATGCATTAAATAAATTTAAGGTGCATTAAAGCCAGATTAATATAGTTTTTAATAATTGCACATCAACATGAATCCACTGATACAAATACAAAAAATAATTGACAAATCTTCAGTCTGAATGAAGTCGCATGAAAAATTATGCCGTGAAAAACAATAAAAAAACACCACCTTGTATATACAAGCTCTTATTTAAAGCTTTTGACTTATTACAGGAGATAAGCTTTATTTACTTTCATTATACTATCAAACAACCAGCGACTATAACATTTTTCACTTGAAACTCCAAGTAGAGGCCCATAAAGCAAAAGCAGTGGCCTAATTGAGTTCATTTTAATTTCTCTCCGATCGCAGAGAATTACACTGGTGATAAATCAGGGGGACAGCACTCACCCCTAGTAGAGGGCCTAATTTGCAGCTAATTACAAGACTGATTTCTACTGGAAGATCAATACCAAAACGAATTGGAAATGACTTGCAATCGCAAAGAGAAGCCAAGAAGGTATTAAAAAAGGCAAGGAAATAGGCTAAAAGCGGGGGCAAAAACAGTCCTGGAACAGTCCAGAAAAATCACTTTTAATTTAATGTAATATTAATCAGATGACATTCCCATTTATTGGTCCGTTTTTGTGCCCCCTTTTTAACTCTTGAAAGAGCGGACCTATTAGCCATGTCTGGTGTGTGAGGCCGGGCATTAAAAAGCCATTTTGGAAATGCTAAACTCAATGGGCTCACCCCTCCCACACTTCTGCCAGCCATTTGGTCATCCTTTTCAGATGGCTCTTCAGTTACCCCACGCCCAACTTGCCCCTATCTGCATGATAAAATAGCTGTTGTGCATCTGAGGCCAGACCAAATAGAGAGGAACATCCGCTACTGGCCAACTGAACATTTGTAGCAGACAATCAGAGTTTATCTGGAATAGAGACAGACAAGTCTGGGGTCACTGCATTTCCCATTGGGACACCAGCCCTATTGTGGTGTGCAGATGCACGAACACACACACACACACGCACGCACGCACGCACGCACGCACGCAGACGTATACGGACATATGTACGCTCGCACTTTAATACGTGAGGAACAATGGTAGCCGGAAATCTATTCTCATTTGTTGCGTTAGTTACAAAGAAATCTATTTAAAGAAAGTCATAGTACCACAAATGCAGCTTAATCCAACATACAAATCCAGAAAATATAAGCGTCAATGTTTTAGCATTTCAAAATAATAACAGAAAGCTGTTTTGGGATTATGTTCGTGTCATCATTTTCTCATCCTAAAGAAAACAATCACAAATGGTCTCGAAACGAGGCCATGTTGGTAATCGAACAAAGCGGCCCCATCTCCTCCCTTGGCTGGTCAGGGGAATGACTGCAGTCAAGCACAAAGAGACAGCTGACACCCCTTCCTTTCAGTCTGTTCCAAATCCTACTCTCTGTCCTGCTCACATCCTTAATGTATGCACACACAGTTCACATTAACTCCACCAAAACCCACATGCACTGACTGGGGGAAATAAAAATAATGTGCAAGTTTAGTAGAACTGGATTTCAGGTGCCCATTTACAAAGCCACAGTAACTGAGCCGCCACTATATTAAATCCCTGGTGTAAAACATTTTCCTTAAATCATAAGAAATATCATAAAAAGAAGATAAATAAAATAACTGGCAGCTCAGAGGCAGAAAGCTTTCTAATTGGACACCTTAAAAGTGATGCTTGGATCCCAAGATATATCTACTTAAAGTGTCCCCCTCCCCTCATTGGCAGGCTAATGAATACACGCTACCAGCACTGAACCCTGGACTGGACGAAGTCAAGCCCAGTCTGTCAACCAGCGTCAGCTCAGATTTGGGCTCCAGCGTGTCACAGAGCTACCCGGTAGTGACAGGTAAGAACGCTGGATCCACCATCCCGGCAGACTATTAGAATACTGGCAGGACGTTCATATTCTAGACTATGTGACTGTTTTATGTGGGAGTTGAGCGGACAGGTGAGAGTGGAATGTGACATGTTGATCTCTAGTGGATGGATTAGTGCTGCCTACTCTGAGGGGCCGTGTAAGAGAGGAACGGTCAAAACAGACAGGCGCTGTTACTTGCAAGAGCCAGCATTCAAAGTGATTATGGAGAATTGTTGGCCAGTGTCACTGTTCAAAAACTGATGAATTGTTTTACTACTTCACCACCGAAGTAGTACCGAAATGTTTTCTTCAGCTCAAAGCTCTCACAAAGAAATATGGCGGCCTAACACGGTTTGGCCTTTTAATGTTGCAGTGTTTTTGGGGGTTTTTTTCCTCGTGGTATGCGGTGGTTAATGTCAGCCTGGCTAATTGAAATATTGTTTCATTGTTGCGGCTGTTATTACCTCAGAGAAGGTTAAGTTTACTGATAGCCAACTGTCGTGCTGAGATTAATACGCTGAGCTTTTAATAAAATTCACATAATTATGCAGGAGCCATCAAAGCCAATGAGTTCTGTGTGGGCGGAGGACAGGATGATTGAAAATTGCTGTGCCCCCTTCTCAAATGATAGCTGGATAATGTTATGTGAGAAGAAAGGGCTTTTTCCCCCCCTCGGTAATATGTGGGAGGTAGAGTTCCCTCCAGAAAGTTGGGCCTCTGGAGAAGAAAGGTGTGTTTTTGTCCTTTGTATGAAAGCAGTCTCGGTCTAGGGAGCACCCTCATGGCAGGTGGCCTTTCTTGCACCTGGGACGGGACACACCGGAGGTCTTAGTGCAGACCACCTCTTGCTTCTGGTAGAGATTTCCAAATGGTTGTTTAAGTTTTTATTGTTGTTAATAATTTCACAATGGTGTTGGTTTATGCATGCATGATGAGAATACTTTCCCCTGGCAACCTAAATTCAGCATTTTCTGAAAAAAATTAAATAAAATACAGTTGTAATTACATTCTGAAGTTTTTTCAGAATGTCGATGCTCAAATGACATTCTTTAGAGTCTTATATATTAACTGTTCCATGTCGTATCCTAAATTACTTTTGGCAGTAATAACTTCATTTATTAAAAAAAAAAAAGCAAGAAAAGCAGTTCAAAGATGCAATAGCGTAATGTTATGATGTACTCGCATGTGATAAACTGGAAATAAGAATAAGGTGACAGAGTTAAAGTGCTAAATTACCCTACGCATTTACACTGAGAGCCAATTCTGAATAAATTACTCCCTCTCATTGGAGAGAGCTGGAGATTATGCTCATTCCCAGCAATGTTTTCCTGAGCCAATTAAAATTCACGCTGCCATTGATCTTGTTGATTTTATGTCGTGCGATTTGCATAATCTATTAAAGATGAATGATTAATGAACTCTTCATTACAAAACAGAAATTGGAATTTTAAGGGCACTACAAGGCATAGGAGACGTGTTTTTTGTGTTAACTGTTTACCCAATTAGTTTTAGGGGTTACTGCTCTGTACCTAAAGTCCTAAAGGAAAATGCATTTGAAAATAGCTTGTCTATTGTACCAAAATGTATGATGCCGGATGAAATCTAATTAATTATTAAAAAAAAAACTTGCAGTAAAGTCCATTCCTTTAAATAATGGAATAGATGCATACTTTAAAATATGAATATTTTTTAGATAAATAAATAATATAAAATCCCAGATAGTACAGTTAACAGAGTCGTTGTAGGATTAATCTGTGCTTCTGTTGTTTTAAAGGCTTTCAGACTTATCAGAGGCAATACTTACCCTTATGCGTCATGCACATTCCACACTTTCATGTATTAACTGTAGTAGAGGGAAAAAACAGTGGTACGATTTATTCAAACTGCAGTAAAAAGTCTGGATGCTGTCCAGATATGGCTAGCCTTTTAAAAAGGCCGTTTGCACATACCTTCACAATGAATGACTAGTGCGGATTCTTAAGCGCCATCCCTGCCGAGCCATATAATGGAAGTCTTCCTGGTGCCAGTAGGATGGTACCGTGTAAATAGGCACCCCTCCGATCCGCTGAAAACCTGAGCAGGTGCTGAAGGGATCCCCCTTGTTCCAAATCTCTTCGGAGAGATGGGAGGAGAGGAGAAGGGGGGAGAGGGAGGAAGAAATGAGCACCCGGGCCTGAAAGCAACAGAGCTCCATGTCTGAAAAAAACAAGAAAAAAAAAACAAGCAAGAAAAGTAAGAAAGAAAAGCAGCATACGCAGGCAGAGTGAAAGAAAAGACTGCTTTGTGTTGGCTTATGCTGCTGATGAACTCCGGCTGAAATATATCCGCCAGAGAGCCATTTTTTAAGTGTGGCCCGCTATTCTCCAGTGAGCAGCAAACAACACGCTGCCGGCTAGACTGAGGTATCTGATGTGTGGCCCAGTGACAAACTGCCTCTGTCTTGAGTCACCAGAAGCCCCGGCAGGCCCTATAGCCCAAATAAATAATTTATTTCACACTCACAATAGTACACTAACCTTTGAGCACACATTTGATAATGAATGACTTTAGGAACTTATATTGGGGATTCAAGCAATTTGGCCGTCCAAACATTACATTGCTGTAATTGATCAGGCTGAAGCAGTCTATTCCATTTTTCCTGTGACAAAATGTTGAGAATTGAGGTCAAAGTGTCTGTGATTATTATTATTATTAAGTTGTTGTTTTTTTATCTCTAAGGCAAGCGACCTTGCTGGAGCTGTTGGGTTTTTTTTTTAAAAGGAAGTCATTCCTCTCTCTGCACCCATGTGAAACTGTGCATTCATGAAAGCGAGAGACAGACATGGAGAACTCTATACCTCTGGTTCGTGTTGAGATGTGATGCGCCTCCACATAGACCAGTGTTTATCTTCCATCTCGGTAATCAGGAGGTTGACAGCCTTCCTTTTTGCAGGTCTTGCTTGTTTCCAGGACAATAAGCAACACCACCTCGGATTAGTTTAAGAGTTCAGTGATCTTGAACACTGGGCTTCGGTCAGTGTAGCGGACGCCCTTGTCTGCTTTACAGCGGCAAAGCAGAGGCCGTGAAAACACGAGGCCTCCGACAGCCTCTCTTTCCTTTTCTCCTTTATTGGCCTCTAAGGTTTTTTATTTTTGAAGCTAGGCTTTATTGCCGTCATCTTCTTCTCTGAAATATAGTCATCTAACCGCCTCATTTCTGTATGTCTCTCTCAATTAAAAATCGCCATGTTTATCCTGCTCCTGCTGTATGAAGATTCGGCTGTTAGTCCCAGACTTGCTCAGGAAAGGAAATTCTGGCATTGATTTGTGTGGGAAAGAAGCCAGTTAAGTTGCCTGATTTCTTGGCGTTAGGTCAGAACGGGTTGTCAGGATTGCGTCTGACAACAAGGAGGCCTTATCTTAATGAGCGACTCTCCGCACATAGCTCGGTTGTAAAACAACAATAGTTGGGAAACAGCTAATGAGGCTATCATGAAGCTGTGAGAGCCCTCCCCACAGACCATGTTAACAGCAGAGGATGTTAAAGAGGATGAGTGGAGAGAGAGATGAAGACAGAGCTCACATTGATTGCTCGAGCTGCAGTGGCAAACCCACTAAGATGAAATATCACCTCCAATTACAGAACTGAATACGGAGGCAGTGTGCGCTCTGCACTTCCGTGATGTTCTGGGCTTTTTTAGCAGCAGTGATGCCACCAGCAGGCTGAGGGCATTCTGTGCTTCTCTCTGTCAAGCAGTTTAAAATCTTTCAGTCAAAACAGGCCAGCAGCGCCACTCTGTGTAATAGAGGAAGCTAAAAGGCCGAGTGACCTAGAAGAGAAAAAAAGCAGAGTTGTTTTTAGCTTCTGCAGGGTCATCAGTTTTTCAAGTTGTGAATTTAAGGAGAGGTGATCATTACATACTGTATGTTTGGTGTGTGGGTTTTCTAGTTATTTGTCTACAATAAAAAAAGCTGAAAAGGGTTACAGGGTTGTGTTTTTAAAGAAAACAAATATGTTTAAGTATTGTTATCATTAATGTGCATGGTGTAACACTAGTTTAATGCATGGGGTGCTTTTCCACTTTATTCTATGCATCATAATTTTTAATGTATCAAAATATGTGTTTTTACTGTATCTTTTTTTTTTTACAGAATATTTAAAAGAAATTATAGAAATACTGAATATATATATATAAAATAAAAATCTTAAATTCTGGATGATTTTCCTCTTCAGTTTTACTACTACTACTATTATTATCATCATTATTATTATAAAGATTTTAGGATAACCATATATCCAGCACCCATTTAATTTTTTTATTTATTTATTTTTGTGGAGCTGCCCTCACAACCTTTGACTTTCTTTACAGGTCGAGACATGGCGAGCACAACCCTACCAGGATACCCACCTCACGTTCCCCCCACTGGGCAGGGCAGCTACCCCACCTCTACACTTGCTGGAATGGTCCCTGGTAAGTGTAATTACTATTTTTATGAGGACGTTAATTTTAAGAGAGCTCGTAATATTTTCAGCGAATAGTCCTCGGCAACTGATCATCTTCAGGAAACCTGAGGTCATGCAAAGCCAACTTGAATTTGCACTGCTGCACCTGGAAAATAAAATAGTCATTTGATAAGAATTCAATAAGAATGTTTGCATTAACATTCGATTAGCATTGGCCCAAAGCTTCCTTTTCTGTTTGAATATATTAGTGCAGAATGCCAGGTAACATTTTAAGAATGAGAGTTGAGAAAGAGAAGTGACAAGCATATTGCCCATGACATTTCTGGTGATGCTAATGTTTATTAAACAGGATAATATTAATGAGGAACATAATATTAATGAGAAAAAGGTTCATGAGGAGCCGTAATTGCAGGATGGCTGCAAAGACAACAGCGGGCAGCGTGAATCTCGATCTCGACTCTCGAGAAAATTAGCACCTCTCAATAAGTGATCAGGGACATAAGTGCGGGATATAGGACAATTCCTCTCAGTTCCACTCGGGTTCCAGCATTCATTACGCCCCTCCCTCGCTCTCCCTGAACGTTCGACGCTCTCACAAGCCATCGATAAACACAGCTTTCTCCACCCTGCCTCCAGTGCTGCAGAGCGTATCTCTTTTCCCCTCTACTTAACCTGCAGTTCAGGTTCACAGCAAACAGTTAAGGGTCACAAAACAGTGGGCAGGAAGACCTGTAAATATTTAAATCACTATCTCTCAGAGGGACCCGACTTGAGTTTCACTGCCAGGACAGGATGCAATCTGGCAGCAAGACCGGTGCCCTCTCCCCAAACAGCACAAACACACACATACGTATGCAAACAGACAGTCTGAGAGGTGTTGCAGAGAAGTTGGAAAAGTGTAAATGCAATTGTATGTGGAGCCAGGGGATAACATCAGCACTCACAAAGTCCAAGCACAAACATGCAGTGTGCGAAAATTGGAAAACAAATATTTTACATCAAACACAGAGAGGGATTCTTCTCGCGGTCACCGTTGAGTGCCTTAGATAGATTCAAGTCTGTCTTGGGCTTCCACGGCCCACAAACATGAATAGTTCGCAGGGGCAAATTTAATTCAGTGACAGGATTCATTTGCTGGGCAAACATATCTTTACAGGTACATCAAATATGTTTTCATCAAAGATTCATTTTCATTGGTCACACAGGCTGAGAAATCCTCTTAAATCCTAGAGCCATGGGTTTTGTGTGCACTTCCATTCATCTGGCCCTCGAACGACTAAGATTTAGTGACAGACCCCAAACACTGTTAAAGCAAAAGCCATTCCTCACCAGCTTCATATATAACCCAGCCTTTATTGTCTCATAAAAGAAAGAAACGTGGGCGACCAACAGCATTGCTCACTGACATGGACAGGGCCGCTTCCTGAAAGTAGAATTTGGCCGTATAAAAAGGGCCGAGTGTGTGCGAGAACGAATCCATTGGGGAGGTTTTTTGAAGCCGGGCTTTGGTGCGGCCAAAGAATAGAGAATCTTAAGAGCGCAACAGCAGAATCAAAGAAAGGAAACTTCAAAACCCAGCTCAGGATTAATGTAACAAATTCAGCCAAAATGGCCGAGCACCAGGGCGTAGGAAAGAGGACAGGGCGTGCCATCTGCTAGCTAGAGCTGTGAAACTATGTCAGTTCCTTTAGTTCTGATGTGCTGAACTAATGTGATGAAATATTTCAAGCATAGCATTAGTTTAATTCAGTACAAGTTAAGCTCAATTGACAGCATTTGTCATTACCTTGCCTTAAAAATGAATTTCTACTTGTCCCTCCTTTGAATTTGAATCACACTGTAAAAAATTATGTTCTGAAGTTGTAAAAAAAACAACCATTATTGGAGTAGATTTTACAAGAAAAAATAAATTTTCACTTCAAAATTATACATTTAATTTGGGTTCTTTGTGAAAAGGGGGGGAGTGAATTATTTGTGAAATTTACTAGCAATTTTATTAGAAATTGTTTCAAAGTAAATCCTACACCACTTTTTTTTTTTCAGTGTGTTAAAGAGACAAAAAAAAGATTATTTGAACAGCTTTACAGCTCAAATACTGCACAGGTTAACAGATTAATTCATTGCAGGGCTTTTATGAAATTGCAAAATTCTTTAAAATACTTCAAAATTGGCTTCAAAAATATTTACTCAATTTAAGTTCTTCATCATAACCTTGATTGTTGCTTTTTTGTTTTATTTAAAATATTTTTTTTGTGGTGATCAACTTTATTCCACAAATGCTGACAGTTGAGCTTAATTGATCCTGAACGCATGAATATGCCTTTAAGATACACAATTTGCTTTATTGCTAACCTGTCATTTGTGTTTGATTTCAGGAAGTGACTTTTCAGGAAATCCCTACTCTCACCCGCAGTACACAACTTACTATGGGATTAGTCGCTTTAAAGTGGGATTAATATAATCACATTTTACAATGACATTATTTGCATACAGCTTTACTAAACTAGCTACAGTTTTATTTCTCTTTTTGATTAGCGAGGTCATAACACACTGCATCTCTAAATTAAGACGCGCATAAGCCCTTCGCAAGTGCTTTTGTGCGTGCCGAGGTTCCCGACCTAATAGAATAGTCTGACTGTATTTTACATAAGCAAAATTATTAAGAGTGGGCGTAAGTGTTGCTCTTGCTGTGGTTTCAAACACTCCGCTCTTCTGTTAACTTCCAGGTTCCCCTTATTATTATAGTGCCGCATCCCGGGGCTCCGCCCCTCCCACTGCTGCCACTGCCTATGACCGCCACTAGTTACCATGGCAACCCAATCAAACTGCTGGACCATGGCCGCGGCCTCCATATCGTACCAGTCTGAATGCCGTTAAGGTCAGAGGGATTGAAGATGGCTACGCGATCTTCAGTTTCACAGGGCCGAGATCGGATTAGGAGGGTCAAGCAACAGCTTGACCCCCCCCCCAGACATCGACTATACCCCCCTCACGCAACATCAACACTAAGGCTCTCATTCTCTAAATTACTGAACAATGACTGAACTATTTCCTGAAAAGACTTTGAAAGATTCTACAAAAATATATATATTATACAAAATATAAAACAAGACGAACCGTGTGAAGAAGTACGAAGTAACAATTGATGTGTTGTTGTTTTTTTGTTCTCTCTTTAAATCAATCAATACATTCCTTTACATACTGTATTTAGTATAACTAACAGATCAAACACACACACAAGGTTGCCTGAGGCCTTTAACATAATTTGCCCTCGTCCTACACCATTTCACTAGTGTCTTACCTCTCACGGACAGAACAGCAACGTGTCAGCTGAGCAGAAAACTGCAGTATTGCTCCAGTTTCTGTCAAAAAGACAAGTGTAACAGTCTTAGAAGCCATCTCTGACTCGTGGTATGAAATTACCAACATGATTTAACATTTTCTGTGATACACAATCAAAATGGGGGAAATAAAATAGAAAAAACAGGTCAGACACTGAAGAAGTTGTTAACTGTTGCTGTATATGACCTGAAAAGAAAACCGTATATTAAATTATTGTTTTGGTTTAGCTGATGGTTTGTGTGCGTGTGTAAATGCATTTGTGTGTCATACCTTTTCAGGATATTCCATTTTATCATGTATAAACTCCAATATCATGATCGGTGCCGCTCTTTTCTCGTTTGCACTATTTTGCATTACTGGATTTATAAGTACAATGGATTGCAATTATCTTCTAAAGTTTGTCAGATTACATGTTCTATTTAAGTAAATAGTTCGACTCGAATTGACAAAGTAACCACAACATTGGACAAGAATACACTTGCTATATGCTAGAAACTAGTATATGCCTTTTTTGTCCTTTAGTGTGGATTCCTTAAAAGACTTCCTCAAAAGAACCATTTTTGTATCGTGTAACTGAGACAGAACGACTCTGACTGGCTCAGTACCAAAGTAATCATTAGCAGTCAATTGTACAACAAATGCCTTACAGCTTTTTTAATTTAATTTTTTTTTTTTTATGGTTTGGCTATGGTCCTGAGAGGTAGACATGCATGTAACCCTTTTGTGTGGATGAACAAACGTTTCTCCAAATGTTATGTGGGACACTGAGGATAGAAATGGAAACGGTCCATACATACACTCCTGGAAATGTAAAGTGAATGTACTTTATACCACGTTTGCCAAAGACTTAGTTTGATATTTAATATTTTATTTGCTGTATCTGTCAATAAAACAGTATTATGTTTTAATAGTAGTCAATACTGATTGTATGTGGTAATGTTGAACAAAAAGGAAAAGATCCATCTTAGCCCCACAGCAATGTACACAAAAAGGTGAATTCTGTTACTCAAAGGTATGTCATTTGCAACAAACTGCTGCTTTGTAGAATGATTGGTGTATAATGTGAAAACAATTCTTCTATGTATATAAGATCACCTACATTTCACCATTGCAGTATCGTACTAATTTACTGATTCCATTTGTAGATATTGAAAGAAAAAAAAAGATTGACTACATTTGTGTCTTCAATGTGTTGTGCTTTGCAGAGACGCACAACAAAATGTTTAAAACCCGTCCTGCGTCGGTGGCTGGGTTTCAGATGCTATCACCACATGTTTGTATGTTTTGTTTTGGTTCACTTTTACTTAACTTGTTCATAATGTTTAAGTCTCTATGCAAATCAAGTAAAATGGTATTCTGTATTCTCCTTTACTACTGTGTTCAATTCTACCCTTCATTTTAAATGATCCCTAAATCGTGTATAGAGGAAAAGCCTGTAGAAATGAACAAATACATTTCACATGCCTGGGTTTTGTGGATTGTTTTTGTACTTTGAACCTCCCTGTACAATTCAATACAAGACTTCAGAATTCTGAAGCTTTTGCCAATATTAAGTTAAAGTTATTTTACTGCAGGACCAGATTATTCAAAAATCATAGCATGCAAAGGGGAAAAAAAGTCAACAAATACATAAATGTACACACAGGACAAGTTCTAATTCACACAATACAAAAAAATAATAATAATAATCAAATAAAAAATTATTTGGCTCTTTTCCCGCTTAGAATGAAGAGATTGTTACCCCCTCACTGCAACCCCCATTTGTTTGTGGCTTTTGAAAACGCGGTCTTGACAGAATTCATTTTAAAACGAGCCGACAGCAGCAGAGCAGAAACAGAGACAATTCTCCTCTCTGATACTGTATGCATCACAAACATAATTTGTTACGGGCAAAACAGAATTATAAAAATATGTAACAAAAATCAATATGGCCTCAGCCATTACCTTTATTCCACCTGTCTGTTCAGTTCTTTTTTTATGAGAAATACATTTTTTGTATGTCAGCCTGTGACCGTAGTAGTGATTATTAACCCTTTCATGAAAGAGTCATTCAGAGTTCAAGGATACGCTGAGCTGTAAGACATTCGGTTTGTATTAACACTAGTTATGAACGCATCACATTTGTTAATGTAGAGCAAATAAAATTACACATTGACTGAGTGTTTCAATGAAGTCTAGATGACGGAATTAAAAATATTGAAAATATTGAAAATTAATAACACTGTACAATATCAATTGTAATATAAAATACATTATTTACATATATTTTTATTCATATTATATATACACAATATTATTTTACAAAATTGTGTATAGAAAATTAAAATTCTATTACAACTGATATATAATAAAACATTTATAAAATAAACACAATATACATAAATATATTAATTTATATTGTATTCATATTTAATATAAAGTAAATTGTAAATACATATTTTTCTCATGTTTGACAATTTGTAATCTAAATCATTTGATAAACTCATATTTTTAAACATACATCATTGATTTTAAACAATTCATGTATACACTATTTTATAGTAAAAAATATACAATAAAATTATTAGTGTAAAAACAACATACATATGCATTTATATACATATAACACATATATACACTCTGATTTTAATCCCAATGCAAAAAAGACAAGAGGATGTTTAATGCAGAAAGAAACAGTGGGAAGCAAACCTAAAAGTTCAATCGAGGAAGAACGAGAGGAAAGAGAGTCTTGGCGAGAGTGAAATCGTAAGCAAGGAATGGGAAAAGCGGATGAACGGAAGCAGAGAGAAGGAGTCACAGTGAGGGTGTAAAACAGAGTGTGGACTATTTAATGATGCATTGGGTTCCCTCCGCAGCTGACTGCTGCCTGCAGCAGCTCTCCTCCTGCCCAAGCAGACAATCCTACCCTGCTGTAATTCAATTTTTCTGCCTATTGTTGATTTCATAGCTCCCCTGTGAAGCATCAAAAGCTGCTGTTCTGTCAGCCTCTTACTGTCGTATATGTTTGTCATTCAGCCCTTGTTAAAATAACGAAAAAAGGCCTGCCTCTGTTCTTCCCCCAGCTGAGAATTCCCAGTGGTAAAATTATTCCATTTAGATGGAAACTTTTTTGTCACTCCCCTGTCTAAATTGGCATATCTGCTTCTTTTGCTGGAACCAATAAACTGTGAACCCGGATGCATCTGTCAATCAGGCTCATCTTTACTTTAGCATGCCAGATGACAACAGGGGAGATGGGAAAAAAAGCAGCAGAATGGAATCAGCTGATTGGCTCTCATCAGCAAGGCATTACAAAAAGCACCTGTCATCCTCTCGGCTCCTCAAACACTGTGAGGGGCCCAAGCTCAGTGCTGCTGGAGACAACTATACAAACAATTGCATGACGGTTTAGTCTCATTCTTAACTGAAATTTTGTAAAGTAAACTTTAAATTCCAGTTCATAGTTTTTCAATGTTTATATGTTTACACTTTATATAAAGGCATTATAATGATACTGTGCATAAAATGCACTTTTTTGGGAACTTGTGAAATGAATAAATACAATTATCATTAAACGTTAAAGCCTTTAACAAATTCTCACAGTATTATACACTTTAATTAGTAAAATGCAACACTCAGTCCTAAATAATACGCTTATTGTTAACTTACTCCATGTATGCTACAGAAACGCACACGTAAGCGCTATTATCTGACAATCCACAACGGCACTATGACTGTATTACTCTGGTTTTACAAGAATAACCTGATCACTGACATTGAAACATACACGTTACCAGGCCAGCGTGACATCGCCTGCATCTCATCAAGCATTAGTCACATTGGTAATCGCACGGAAAATGTGTCCATTTAGTTCTATGTAAATTTCCTACAAACAATAAAGATTTGTAGACACATTATTCATAAGAAATGGAAAAATGTCTAGTGTTTTCTGAGGCTTGAATTGGGAGAAAACGGCATCATCTGTCATGGGGTGTCACACTGGAGAGAGAAGGAGCACCAGAGGAGTTGCACTGGACAGCACTCACTGTTAAGTCCTGTCAGCCGTCTATGTGCTCGTCATCATCACTGCTGTCATATTTGATGCTGGGGAGGGGAAAGGCCAACCTGGGGCTGTCAATCAAATCCACCTCATTAGGGACACTGCTAATTATGAAATGTTCTATGATGCCTGGGAATGGAGTCTTTCTTAGGTACTGTATGTCATCAAGACAGTGTAGTTTGTGAGATGACAAGAACTGATTTTCCACGCTGCTTAAGAACAGGGTGTGCAAATTAAAACATCTATGAGAACAACACAGGCCCACAAAGAATCTGTACAAGCAAAAACCTTCAGCTTCCAGTAATTGCTCCAGATTTCAATTTTACCTTCTGGAAAAAATGTGGATAAACCAGTTTGCTAATCTTTGGCCATTAAAAATCAAAAATTAAAAACTTGCACACAAATTACACTATTGGGACTTACATTTGCTCTGCATGTTTTTAAGTTTTATTTTTATTTTTAACATGCCCTGTTCCTATCTGAAACATCTGTGAGTGTAATCATCTGAACAGCTGTGAATCTTCAAGAGATCCTTGTACCATATCAGAATCAGAATCAGAATCAGAAGAGCTTTATTACCAAGTATGTTTACACACACACACAAGGAATTTGACTTGACGACAGGAGCTTCCAGTGTAGAAGAAAGTACAAACATAGTGCAGACATACATGATAGTGCAGACATACATAGGAATAACACAGTAGGGATGTAATATAACACTAATATAATAAAAAAATAAAAATTAGAAAAATGTAATAATGTACTATATACAGAAATAGAAGTATAGGAAAAAATGAATTGTTTAGATAAATGTACAGATATGTTTATTAGTGTGCAGATATGTTATTTACAAAGTGTGCAGTTTAATATAAATGGACGATGTATAATTATGAAAGATTAATTGTTCAGGCTGAATATAGCCTGTGGGAAAAAACTGTTCTTGTGCCTGGCTGTTCTGGTGGTCAGTGCTCTGTAGCGCCGACCAGAAGGCAACAGTTCGAAGAGAGTGTGGGCTGGGTGTGAGGGGTCCAAGGTGATTTTTTTAGCCCTTTTCCTCACTCTGGAGATGTAAAGATCTTGGAGGCTGGGCAGAGGGGCACCAATAATCCTCTCAGCAGTCCTGACTGTCCGTTGTAGTCTCTTGATGTCTGATTTGGTAGCTGAACCAAACCAGACAGTTATGGATGAACACAGGATGCGATCC